TTTCTTAAGCGATTACCACAAAATTTGTAGAACAGTGTTATCGATATATTTGATGCAGGTCTTCAATTTCTCGTCATCTATTGTCCATAACCGTACAATATGTAGAACGCATTGACTAGTTGAACCTTCAAAACCAGCTTACCCTTATGTAGTTATCAATTAGTTATCGACACTGCTTTTATTTCGATTAGGAAAAGTTAATTTTAAAATATCGAAGAAAATGCGGGACAAAGGCAGGACACTTGGAAAAAATCAGTACATTTTGGGGGTGTTCTGTTTTGATAAACTACGCAGGACAAACCTTTAAATAACAGTACGGTCCTGCAAAAAACAGAACGGATGGTCACCGTACTTATAGGCGACAAAGCGGCATCAGTAGGAAACACAAAAACAAAATATTTTCGCTTCTTGCTAACTTGACGTGTTGAGTAATCATTGACGATTTACTATATGCTGTAGTGCTGGCAGATACATCGATGTTTTTGAATTTATTTCCAACATTGATGTTTTTTTCGATGTTCGATGTTTTTGTCTATAACAATCACATAGATAAGTGAAAATCTGCGAGCACAACTTTAATAGAAAAATAAAGCTTATTAAATACAAATTATTCATTCTTTAGATCAGGCGTTCTTAAACTTTTAAGATGATGGAATCCTTACTAAACAATTTTCATTTTATGGAACCCCACATCAAATTACTAAAAATCAAAGGCTGTGCAATTTAAATATGAATAAAAACTTTTACTAGAAATACCAAGCGTACTTTAAGTTTTAATGTAAAGAAAGGAAATTGTTTCGCTGTTAATTATAGTATAAAATAGTGGCTCGATATAATGCCTGAGAGCTATATTCGCATTATATGCAATTTCGACCTGAATTACGTTCGACCTGAAGCAAAGTTAAGATGGCCTTTTTAGCGACTTAGGGCCGGTTGTTCAATGTCTGATTAGCACAAATCGTAGGTAGAAGCTCCGGTTAGATACAACGACTGCTTAATCGATCATATGCTATATGCATGATGTCGAAATCGTCGGCAAGTAGTGATAACCAGACATTGAACAACCGGCCCTTAGTGATATTTACTCTTAACACTAACCCAAAACTCTTTCAGAGACACAGATTCAAATGTTTGAATTTTGTACCAAATCTATATTACTACTACCATCCCAAAAATAATCTGACAAATATTTCAGGTGATTTACCATGTCCCCAGTAATGACATTTCACATTTCATTTGGCAATTCATAGCGTTCCTTGTAGAACTGCAAAAGTATCGATGGTTGGACCATTCGATATTTTCGATAGTTTTGGGCATCACTATTCGATAGTATCGATCGGTGAGAGAAAAAATATGGGATCATTACTGCGGCACTATTTATATTGAATATGGTAATATTAGTAGAAAAAACAGAAATGTTAGTTTTAAACACCATTTTGGTGTGCTTTATTAAAAATAAAAAATAAGTTATTCTAAGCAACAAAAACAACACGTTGGGAGTCTCAATTTTAAACAATTTACATAAACGAGGAAAATTCGAGTTTTTCGAGTAATCAAAATTTCGAACTTTTTAATTAGGTTTCTTAGAAAATTTTTGAGAATGCAGTTTTGTAGTTTGAAGTAGCTAGGTCTCACTGTTGATTTTTGGCAATTATTTGTATTTGAAGGTTTCCGATAGTATCGCGATAGTGGCTACCATTCATCAATAGTGGTGTCAAATTGAAACTATCGATAGTGCCATCGATAGTTTTGCAGCCTAGTTCCTTGTAGAAAGTTTTATATAACCCTTTGCCTACAGCGGCCAACAACACATACCGGTTAGAAAAAACAAGCGCAAGGTCAACTCTCAGTACGGCAATCATACCAAATACGAGTACATATCGTCGCCTGGGTAAAAGATTGTCGTAAGCGCAATGTTTGACGATTTTTAGTTATAGACGCAGTATATATTTTTAAATAAGGTCTTTCGATTGGTGTTATCTGTTTATAGATATCTGCTTTAGTTTAGTAAGTGATGCAGTCATATTAAACTAATCCATGAGCGTTTTCAATTATGTGAGGGCTAAGAATCCGCGCTGCCCCAAAGTTTTCGCGTGCATTGGCTAAATGAGTCATGTGATGTCATGAATATCGTTCAAATAAAGCCGTTGATATACCTATCGTGTTCCTTTTGGACAAATGTGGTCGAATCTTTCCTTGTAAATTAGCCACTTTTACAATTTGTCTTAATATTTATGAATTGGTTTCTTTGAGTCTTACTGCTGCCTCGAGCAACTTCGTCAATCGGAGGTAGATGCAAGTTCACGCTTACACAGTGTTACGGACTTTATATGCATACTTAAACGCATCCTTGATTTAGCCATCTGAAAAGTAAATTCGTCTAAGATAAACATAGGGCCAAAGCAGAACTAACCCCGCGGGGGTTTCTATATATTTCGCGTCATCAAATGGGTCCCTTTTCTCCAAAATCTTTGCTTGTTTTCTAAATACCTAAACTCCAGCGTTGCATTTTTAGCAAAGGAATTTTTCATCATACAGGTAGTCACGCTGCGAATTTGAATGAAATCTGTTAATAAATACGACTTTTATAAGGAACTCTACTCCAGCGCCACCTAGCGGGTCCGTTTTACGCAAGTGCTTTTTTCATCACGCTTACGAAATCGGTTCATAAAGAGTGATCCGACTAGCGAAAAAAAAATTTGTGTGGTAGGATCTGGAAAAAAATGGGTACATTGGAAAAAACTGTGGTAGATCTCAGGTTTTGGATCAAACTTTGTACAAAAATTAAAAATATTCAGCAAGGTTTCACCTAAATTGCAAACATTTTAATTAGAATCTAAAAAAAATTAATTTTAGTATAATAGAGTGCGATATTGAAGTTGCTAAAAATTCCGTTGAGTTTTGGCAATTTTTTTCCTGGACAGTGTAAAGCAGTTCCTTCCATATCAAGATATTTTTCGAAAATATTTTGAAAGATTTCTGCAACCTTGCGGCGTGCTGCCAGCTTTTATCACATCACGATATAGCGGACAAATGTGCGATTTGCCGATTTTGACAATTCTCAATAAAAGTAAACAACACCTCAGAAACTTTAGATGCTGTTTTTGTTAAATTTTCGGTATTAATTCTTTTTTATAAACCATATATTTTGCAATTCAACACAATAAAACCATGTTTCCTGTCAAAAAATTTAATATTGAGAAAATTTACTATTTTACGGTTTATTTTATCTTCCCATTTTGCCTGTTATTGTTTAGTCTTGGACAATTTTTGCTCTTAAAATTGAGAAAATTATGTCGAGCATAAATAAAAGTAGTCAAAAAAGCGAATATGTGGTAGACTTCAGACCTTGTGTGTTAGATGTGGTAGATGCTCAAAAAAGTGGCAGATCTACCACAATGTGGTAGAAGTCCGATCACTGTTCATAGATACAACTTTTATAAATAACTCGCTTCCCGCGCCTCCTAGCGGCTCCGTTTTTGGTAAACGTATTTTCCATTATGCTGAAACTACACCTTTTGAATTTGAAAGAAATTGGTTCATAAATACGACTTTTATAAATAACTCGACTCCCGCGCCACCTAGCGGGTCTATTTTTGGTAAACGTGATTGCCATCATGCTGGTAGCTTTCATTTTGAATTTAAAAGAAATCCGTTCATAAATACGAAATAACTCGGCCCCAGCGCCACCTACCGAGTGGCCTATAATAGGATCATATATGCAAGGTATAACCTCTGAAAATTTGACTGAAATCTATGCAGTAGTTTTTGAGTTAACTCCGAACAACGAAAACGGCTATTATTTTATTATATCGTCGCCTGGGTAAAAGATTGTCGTATGTTGATTTCGGCAGGTTGTGGGAAATCGCGATTGAAGTTTGGAATGCAATTTCCCAAAAACGGGAAGATAGATATTCTCCAAAGTCTCTGAAAATGTTAATTTTTAAATTATTTAATTTGTAATGTTTAATGTTAATTAGTTTTGAGTTTATGAAGTATTTTCCTTAGTAAAATTTTTTCGTAAGCGTCATTTGTCCACAATTTGGCAGCCACTTTGTATGAAATACGACAAAATGTGATTATTATTATTATTATTGTAGCAGCATACAAATTCCTCAAAGACTTTTTGGGGAGTGTAGCTGAAGTGACAGTCCTTGGCCAGATATAAATCTGGGTCGTTCCGGTTACGTAGACCCGACTGTTGTGGGAGATCAAAATGTGATCAAAAGTTCTACTAAATTAACGACACGTTTTACTCAATATCTCGGAAACTAAAGGAAATATCCAAAAACGGAACGGACGCCATTTTAATGAATGATATTGATTAGTTTAATATGGCTGCATCACTAACTAAATTTTTACTAAAATTATCGAAAAAATTATAGACAATATCTCGGAAACTAAAGGAGATATCCAAAAACGGAACGGACGCCATTTTAATGAATGATATTGATTAGTTTAATATGGCTGCATCACTAACTAAATTTTTACTAAAATTATCGAAAAAATTATAGACAATATCTCGGAAACTAAAGGCGATATCTAGAAACTGATAACACCAATAAAAAGACCGTATCTCAAAATATATAACTGCATCTAAAACTAAAAATCGTCAAAATTGCGCTTGCGACAATCTTTTACCCAGGCGACGAATATATATAGAAGATGGCTATGTTTATAAACACAATAAAGCAAAATATCACTATCTTTTAAATCAAAGTCCAAATTGAACACATTTATCTTGTATGGTTGTGAAATTAAAGAAATGATGGTTTGCATATCTGCGTTAATGAATGCAGACAGATCTCGTCCATTCAGATCGCCTGCCGGTAGAGAAGTTTATAAAAGGCGGCTTGGAACTACCAGTTGTGGCGGCTCTGGATATTACACTCTTAGACCGCATATCGTACGAGATATACTTACGGTGCTGCTGTGAATCACGTCCATTCCAACAGCATCGAGAATATGCTATCTTAGTTAAATATACATACATAAACTATTATATAGCTTAGAAGGAAAAGTGTAACAGGTTAACTTATTTTAAGCATTAATTTTAACTTTACTTTTATTATATATTGCAATACATAATTCAAATGTATATACGTGAATGTATATAGGTCAAATGACTATAATAAATAAATAAATAAATAAAAATTCGCCATTTGAAAAGGTCGATGCATCGATACATCGATGTTGCTCCTCAAAAAAACATCGAAACATCGATGTTTTCCAGCGCTAATATAACTACTGCCATTGTAAAAATGAAGACATATTTTGTTATAGGGAGACACTATTAATCAATATAGCTATGAAATTTTTACCCAACATAAAAGTACATACATTATTATAATAGAAATACCATATATATTCAGTTTCTTTACAGAGTAATTAAAAATTTTATAAAACTTAAGTTCTTCAAATGCGATTTTCCTTAAAATTCGGTCCGTTGCTTTTAAATTCCATTAGGATTTTAAGAGACCAGTCTTTCGACATTTAGACAAAGTTCTTTTAATATAGAAAGGCTCCGATTTCTACATTAAAAGAACGATATGTACGATGCATTTATGTTTTTACGAAATGTATATTATATTAGCTATAAGTAGAAATCCAATTTATTTAACAAATAAAGTTCTTTGTACGCCAAATATCAACATCAGTTTGTAGACACCTGCGAAAGTCATAATCACATAATCCTAGGCTGTAGAAGGGATTCAATGGTTTAAAAATATGCAAACCGCGCCCAACTTTTATAATAAAACCACTGCTAACCCTGTTAGAAGTACTTGATCATTAAATAACCATTCAAATACTGTTCTTTAAACTTACACAATTTTACGGTCATGTAATGTTTCCACAAATTTTGTGCATAATGTCACATTTCGCTTGGCTAGATCTTGTGTAATCTGCCTTATCACGTTTATTTGGTTTTCTGGAGCCTTGCTATGAGTTTTGGTCACCAGTCGGACGTATTTCAGATACGGACAGTTCTTCGCTAACAACTCCAGAAACGATACGAAATTCTGAAACTAAATGAATGGTTATGAAATCTATAGCAGAATATATTTTGGCGTTTCTAAATACTTGATATTTCTCGTAAAGGTATGGTTCTTCAAGCAGCACCTCCTTTACTTCTGCGTCTAGGTACTTCCCAAAAAGATTCCGATAGCTATTGCCAACAGAATCTTCATCTATCGGTATACTTGATACAAGCTCTCCACCAATAACATGCTTCTGTACACGCTCCTTTATTTGTCGCATGCGGTCGTTGTATTCCTTGATCCTTTCGCACAAAATTTTTTTCTTAGATTCGTCGCGTTGGTCTTGCCAAAATAAATCAAGATAAAAATTGTATCATTGAAATACAAAGTACTATTGTTTTAAATATAGTAGAATTTGACTGGAACAGCATACTAATTTAAATATATCTTTTAATTTAAGAAAATCAGCTTGCTTACGCGCCACAAGTTGCATTACTAGCCGTTGGCCTTCTTCGTAGAGATCTTGCGCTTCTAAAATACGGCCCACCTGGTCACACTCTACTGCTCTCATTAAAATATCCTTGGCACTCATTTTATCCACCGCCATATTTTATGCTTTGTGAAAAGTTAGCTTATACTTCTACAAAGAAATAATAAAAATTCAAATGTAAACAAAACCCAAAGGAATGTGACTAGCTTGGCGCATCAGCGTAGTGAGATAATTTTATCGATAACTTATTTGAGTATCGAGTACCCAATACGTTTTAATAGATACGCAGAAAATTAATGCGTTGGGTTGGGCTTCGCTTCAACAGCTATGAATACATGAATTCAAATTCAGCCGTCCACATTCCAAAATTCGGCAACGCCTATGTACACACAAAGCAGAGAGATGGCCAACTCTCAACTTTTAGCGTACGTTGCTCGTCAGCTGTTGCAAATAAATAAAATATTTGTTTTTTACATTTTCGGGCAAATGAGCGTAAGTACGAAATGCTCTCACAAAAGTGCATAAACTGCCCAAAACCACGGGAACATAAAAACATGTTTTCGTGCCCGAAACTAAACGCTAAATAGCAAAAACATTACAAATTTAAGATTTTATCAGCAGCGAACACATTAACGTTAAATTAATAGTTCACTTGATGTTTTTTCACTTATCAATCAAAGAAAAACAGCTAAATATGCACATATGTATGTATTGGTTAAAATTTAAATTTTTAAAATTCTTCCCTTTCTTCTGTCAGTTTGACAGGTTTCATAAGGTTAAGTTGCGATCCTGTACGAGTCCGGACTTGTCAGAATTAGTCAGATTTTACTGCAAATCGATCCCGTACTCGGTTCTCTGACTACTGAGAGGACAAAAAAGAGAGTAAATAAGGTCCTCTCTCTGTCAGAAGTTACCAGTTTTACTCCGAAGATTTGTTGCTGGTAAATTCTGGCAAATGTGTAAATGTGGATTCTAATGAATCTTAATAGTGGTATTCATCTAAAGCGATAACTTTATCAAGCAGATAATCTTATAAGTTTACGCACTCTGTTACATGAACGACCCACACTCTCTTTTCGTTTACACATGCGACAATAGTCGTGTTTTCTTTGGTTATAGAGCTCAGTATCACTAACTTTATACTACTAGTACGAGGATAAAGAAATTTTAAAAACTAACTCACTAAATGTGAAAGAATTATATTTACGAGATAATATCTGTTTAAATAAATATACATATAACATAAAGGCTATTTATTTGAAGAAAGTTAGAAGAAACAAAGGCAGAATATCTGTTTGTGTTTGAATTCATTTATCACGGCTACCAAACTTTGCGGCCAAATTATCAGTGAAACAAAACAAACAGAACGGATAATAATTGAACCAGATCTCTATCAGGATCATATCGTTCTTGTTGAATTTGCGTGCAAAATTTTTATGCGGATCTCGATTATTACCTAAGAAAACATACATAGCTAGAGTTGCGACAGTGTTGTATTGACTTCAGTTTGTCAAGTTTATTCAGTGAAATCGCTGGAGAAATTTATCAGAAATGTGTAAACGAGTTTCCGTATAAATTTTGACAGTTCATTTATAAGGTTTACACAATTATAAGTTTATACGGTTTGCAATGCATTTATAAGGTTTGATGAATACTCTTAATGTATTTTTGGTTAGTCAGTACTAATTTGTACTAGAACTTACAAATTTATACTGGAAAAGTGTATAATAACCCAAAAAATTTGCAGGAGAGCCCTGAATCGAAAGCGTAATAACACGGGAGAGCTGCAAATTCTTGCAAGTGAAATTTTTACTAGCGGAAGAAGAAGAATGAATGTCAAAAGTTGCCATTTGTTGAATTGGTTAAACGTAAACAAAAGTAAAATAAGTGGAAATCAAAATATTAATGATGTTCTGGCCTGTTTAAGTGCTTGTGTGTAATGCAGAGTTTAAAACTGATTTATAAATAGTAAAATGTTTACAGCAGAATGACAAAACGGTGCAACAACTATTCACTTGCAAGTTCTTACAGGCTTCTTGTATGGGACCAGCTGAAATTGAACGGCGTGCGAATGAAGCTAACTCAATTTCCAATTTTTGTTCTGCATGACATTTTGATTTGACATTTCGCTCAATGAAATCAAATACAAACGCACGCAAGACAATTTAGGGTGAAGCAAGAAAAAAATTCTACGGCGTGCGTACCAAAACGCAAGCCGCGAATATTAGGTTAGCCTGTTACTAGTTTTGTGTTCAATAACTTTTTCTATTTTACGCTCCATTTTGTTTTTACGCTCTCGCTACAATCTTTTACTGGAGAAGTTACTTTACAAACCTACAAACTCGACCGGAAAAATAGTCTGCGCGACTTCGGGCTAGTAAGGAGCAAAAATTACTATCTCAAAGTGGCTCTCGACAGCCAGACAACCAACCAACGAAAACAAATTGGACACTTTCGGGCGAGCAAAAAAATTTTTGGGCAAGGTGCAATAGTTACAGGTACTGTCTTCCATATACCATATATGTACCCATATTTTTTTTTTTAACAAATCTTCTTGCAGAGAACTTATTAAATTTGTTTGTAAATAAATTCAAAAATTTGTGTCTCTCACTTCATTTCAAAGATTTTTTTCTTTTGAAAAATTATAAAAATTAAATTGAGCGAAAACAAAAGGCAAAGTCAAATAAAAGTAGAAGAATCAACATTGAATNAATATTAATGATGTTCTGGCCTGTTTAAGTGCTTGTGTGTAATGCAGAGTTTAAAACTGATTTATAAATAGTAAAATGTTTACAGCAGAATGACAAAACGGTGCAACAACTATTCACTTGCAAGTTCTTACAGGCTTCTTGTATGGGACCAGCTGAAATTGAACGGCGTGCGAATGAAGCTAACTCAATTTCCAATTTTTGTTCTGCATGACATTTTGATTTGACATTTCGCTCAATGAAATCAAATACAAACGCACGCAAGACAATTTAGGGTGAAGCAAGAAAAAAATTCTACGGCGTGCGTACCAAAACGCAAGCCGCGAATATTAGGTTAGCCTGTTACTAGTTTTGTGTTCAATAACTTTTTCTATTTTACGCTCCATTTTGTTTTTACGCTCTCGCTACAATCTTTTACTGGAGAAGTTACTTTACAAACCTACAAACTCGACCGGAAAAATAGTCTGCGCGACTTCGGGCTAGTAAGGAGCAAAAATTACTATCTCAAAGTGGCTCTCGACAGCCAGACAACCAACCAACGAAAACAAATTGGACACTTTCGGGCGAGCAAAAAAATTTTTGGGCAAGGTGCAATAGTTACAGGTACTGTCTTCCATATACCATATATGTACCCATATTTTTTTTTTTTAACAAATCTTCTTGCAGAGAACTTATTAAATTTGTTTGTAAATAAATTCAAAAATTTGTGTCTCTCACTTCATTTCAAAGATTTTTTTCTTTTGAAAAATTATAAAAATTAAATTGAGCGAAAACAAAAGGCAAAGTCAAATAAAAGTAGAAGAATCAACATTGAATTGCGTCAAAATGAAAATAAGGGAGCACAAATTTCGATGTGAAGCAAAACTCTCTCGGAAGACAATACCTGTAATTACTGTACCAGGATCCTTAGGGCCGGTTACTCAATGTCTGGTTAACACTAATCTGCGGTTAAACATCGTTATCGACGACTTCGACTCCTTGCATATAACAGGGAGTCGATAACGTCGATACCTATGTTTAACCGGAGATTAGTGTTAACCAGACATTGAGTAACCGGCCCTTAGGCTTTCCGCACATCTGCTCGGCTAATCATAGTTGCATACATCTGTATACTCGCTCATCATGCTTACATTTTTTTAAAACTTTCACTTTTTGAAGTGAAACTTCTTACACGAGTTCGGAGATGGGTGCGTTAAATATTTAACACCAAGTCATAAAATCTGTATCGTTCGAGCGATTTTCAAAAATGAGTTGTCGCATGAAAGGCCTCATCCTTCGGGTGTCCAACATGATATGATTTTAGTTTTTAAAGGGTTGCCATATATACAAAAATCAAATTCCAATTATTTATTAAAATAAATAAAGTATCCCAATATGGGTAGTAAATGAAATGGTTTTGAATAAAGATGAAGATGAAGATGATGAGGATGAGGATGAAGATGAAGATGAAGATGAAGATGAAGATGAAGATGAAGATGAAGATGAAGATGAAGATGAAGATGAAGATGAAGATGAAGATGAAGATGTGGATGAAGATGAAGATAAAGATAAGTACTGTTATGATCGACCTGTAATTCTCGGAGGCGATTTCAACGTCAACTTTTCGCTGGCCAAATCTGAGGAACTACCAATATGTTTGCAAGAAAAATTCTCACTGGAAATGGTTAATGGTAGAAATGATCCAACAACCAAAAGAGCGGCTACCATTGATGCGGTTTTTTCCAGACGTATTAATAATATTGAAATTTAACATTTCATATCTTACTTTAGTTACCACAATCTAAGTACTTGTTAATATTGCAGATATGGATGTTTCCTCAGGCCCAAATAATAATAAAACTTTTGCTTTTTCCGCGCGTACGGACTACACGCACTAAGCACTTCTGTGGTATTTTCCATTTCCACAACAACTCATATGGCAATTTAACTTTCTGCACATTTCTTCCCGCAAAAGGTTCGGTCTGTTTCGGACAGGAAGAAGAAGACGTTTACGATCAAAAAGTGGAACGTATACGCTCTCTATTACCCATTTTTATAGCGTGAGGAACGCTACTTCTACAGTTGTAGCATTCCTGTTATTTAGAGCTGTAAAAGTATCGAAAATTCGGATACTCGTATGTATTCGTTACTAATACTAATCCATTCAGCACCCGTGCAGTAACGATGCACTCGTTGCTTTTGATACAAACACTTGTACATCACACGCATGAACGAAAGGCACAAGTTCACGTAAGAACAAGTGAAAAAAGTCGATTTTTTTAGCGGGTTCTACGCCATCTTGTTTCACTGGAAAACGAGCGAAAAGTAAACAACGCAAAGAAAACAACGAAAACCAACATTAGCCAAAATTATTGTCAGCCACTTTAAACGCACAATTTAGGTAAAATGATGCAACAAAATACTTTAAAATGTGTTGTCATGTTGAATTAACTCTTCTTTACT